GAGAGAGAGAGAGAGAGGAGAGAGAGGAGAGAGAGAGAGAGAGGAAGAGAGGAGAAGAGAGACAGAGACAGAGACAGAGACAGAGAGAAGAGAGAAGAGAGAAGAGAAAGAGGAGAGACAGAGACGAAAAGAGAAAGAGAAAGAGAGAAAGAGAACGAGAAGAAGCACAGGGAATCCAATGCTTCTTACCAACAAAGTGACTACGTCTCCGAACATTATTTTCTCCAAGACGTGTGTCATTTGTATGCGTAACGTCGAAAATCTCAAACAAAAGTGCTGTTTCGTCGACCTTCGCGGTTCAACAAACAAGAAAATATGAATGTGGCTTCGACTGCGGAGATGCCAAAGAAATAATAATAATAATAATAATAATTAGATAATAATGATTTGAAAATCTAGAGTAAACATATTTTTTCTTTTTAATTGTCAAGATTAATTAATCATTTTCGGACTGCATTCACATCATATATACGTATTTTCGGAATGTATTCACATAAATTTATCCGCTTTTTTTTCGAATTCTGGAGTGATTCAGTTTTCCGGCATTAGCATGACTTCAAATATTCGGCAAACGTTACGAACCAACGAAAGTACAGTAACATGTTGGGGAAAGATAAGTGAAATTAGGGAGAATAAGGAGTATTAGGCATGGAAGTGGGAGAAATATCCAACATTGCGGTGGGGTGAAGGAACAGGATGTTACAAATGAACGTAACTACGGCCGTTACTCTCTCTCTCTCCTCTTCTCTTTCTCTCTCCTTCTTCTCTCCTCCTGCTCCCTCTCCTCCTCTCCTTTCCTCCCTCCCTCTTCCTCTCTCTTCTGCTCTCCTCTTTCTCTTTTTTTCATCCCTCTCCTTCTTTCCCTTTCCCCTCTCCCCTTCTCCCTCCCTCCATCTCCCTTCCTCCATCCCTCCTTCCTCTGCCATCTCCCTTTCCCTTCCTCCCCCCCCTCCCTCCCCTCCCATCTCCCTCTCCCTCCCTCCCCTCATCCACCATAACCCCTTACACCATCCCCTCCACCATCACCCCTCAACACCCCCTCCCCTCACATCACCCCTCAACACCCCCTCCCCTCCACCATCACCCCTCAACACCCCTCCCCTCCCCTCCATCATCACCCCCCCACATCCACCATTCACCCCCCACCCCCTCCCCCCCACCATCACCCCTCAACACCCCTCCCTCCACCCCCACCATTCAACACACCCACCCCCACCCCCGCCGCCACCCCCGCCACCCACGCGACAATTGAGGGCGAGCGACAGCAAACCGCCCGCCCCCTCCCCGCCGGAGCCCGAAGGTGATCCCCGCGCCGCTAAAACCGCTTCTAAATTCAACCCTTTCACACTTTACGACCCGCGGCGGATCCCTGTTCTTCCCCCTCGACTTTCTCTTTCTTTCTTTCTTGATCTGCTTGAGAGAGAGAGGGGAGAGAGAGAAAAAAATAATTATGTGTCTAATCACTTTCTCTTTCTTTCTTTCATCTGCTCGAAAAAAAAATAATTGTGTCTAATCATCGTCAAGTATGCATCCGCAAATAACTTAAAACGAACAAGCTGTTTGATCTTAGGAGTCTTTCGCTACCCCCCTCCCCCCCCACTCTCCCTCTTCTCTTTCCTCTCCCTCTCTCATCCTTCGGATTATTGTAACATCAAGCAGACAAGGAAACTCTTTGAATCCCTGAAATTCTCTCTCTCTTCTCTTCTTCTCTCTCTCTCTCTCTCTCTCTCTCTCTCTCTCTCTCTCTCTCTCTCTCTCTCTCTCTCTCTCTCTCTCTCTCTCTCACACACGATATAGGGAGGGGAGGGAGGGAGATATATATATATATATATATATATATATATATATATATATATTATATATATATATATATAGAGAGAGAGAGAGAGAGAGAGAGAGAGAGAGAGAGAGAGAGAGAGAGAGAGAGAGAAGAGAGAGAGAGAAAGAGAGAAAGAAGAGAGAAAGAGAGAGACCAAAGAAAACAAGCTCACAAAAGATTCAAAGAGACATTCAGAAAAATAAACAATAAAAAAACAAAAAACAAACAAACCCTTCGTCCCAGAGAGAGGCTCAGAGCCGCCGCCACCCAGGACTGTCTCTTTTAATTTTCCTTATCTTTTAATTTTCATTATTGTCCACAAGAGTTGTCAAAATGCATCTGTACTGGCCTATACCAAATAGTCTTTGGTCTACACTCGAGGATTTGTGGGTGGGGCTATGTGACGTCATCATATTAATGCCAAGAACCGCTATAAAGATATCTGTTTTCGTGTATATTTCGGTTATATCATATACCTCTGAAGTAAACTGAAAATCTTCGCTTTAATTTCTTCTTCATGATCGTTCCATGCCGTTAGCAACCTTCAGAAAATACATCTTCACTTCTGTGTTATATTTTCGTTGTCATTACTGTGTGGGTGACAATCCAAACTAATTTTGTTTACATATATCATATATGATGTATTGAATGCAAGAAAAGTAAACAATGTATTCTATATATCTGCCTGTGATATATATAACAATTATCCTGTCCTTCATACACCGGTAGACGTCATACCCTACCCGGGCAAGACCCTACCGGCTAGACGTCATACCCTACCGGCTAGACGATAGACGTCATACCCTACCGACCCGTGTCATACTACTCATGCTACTACTACGTCATCGCTACGTCATAGGGTACTGGAATAACAGAAGCTATTACTGGTCTGACAGCCCTGCGCCACCCACGAGTGACTCTCCAGACCAACCAAGACCGGAGGAGAGTGAAAGACTCGCCAATCAGATCATCGTCAGCAATCACTAGCATACTAGGGCATCAGCGCCAACAACTAGGCAATCAGGGTGACACGTAACGACCAATTAGCAAGAGTAACGATTCGGTATGTGTGTCCCAATCTCTCTTTCTTTCTTTCTTTCTCTTTCTCTCTCGCTCTCGTTTTCGTTCTCGTTCTCATTTCTCTCGCTCTCTCTCTCTCTCTCTCTCTCTCGCTCTGTTTCTCTCTCTCTCTCTCTCTCTCGGTCTCTCGCTCTCTCTCTCTTTCTCTCTCTCTCTCTCTCTCTCTCTCTCTCCTCTCTCTCTCTCTCTCTCTCTCTCTCTCATCCTCTCTTCTCCTCCTTTCCCTTTCCCCTCTTCTCCCCCCCCCCTCTTCCCACTACCCCCCCCCCAAACGCCTCCGCCTCGGAACATACCCGTCTATCAAGCCCTTTTCCCCGCTCTTTTATCTCCTTTACGTGTCTCTATGCAAATGCCGGTTCCCACGGCCTCACAGCGCGACGACAAGCCCCCCCCCCCCGAGATCTCCTAGGCATGTGGCTCTCCTTCTGTAGTCTTGCTCCTTGAAGAAAATGCCAAAATCCTTCGTCGTTGTCTCGCCACCCACAGACGTGTTGTTTTGGCTTCGCTGAAAATCTTTTTCAGGATTTTTTTTCTTCTTCTTCTTTTGTACTTCCCATCTCCTTCATACTGCTTCTTTATTCAAAATCGCCCCTTTTCAAAAAAAAAAAAAAAAAAAAAAAAAAAAAAAAAAATCTTTGTACTTCCCATCTCCTCCATACTGCTTTTTTCAAAATCGCCCTTTTCAAGATTTTTTTCTTCTTTTGTACTTCCCATCTACTTCATACTGCTTCTTTTATTCAAAATCGTCCTTTTCTGATCGTTTGACTTCAAGAACTGAGAGCTATTAACCCAGACAGTCTAAAAAAGCCATTTAAATATAGACTCTATTGCAGTCCTACTATGGAGCCTCAAGTAAACGCCAAAAACAGTAACATTACACGCAGTTACACGTAAGTTATGAATATTGTACACAAAGCACATTACCATAGTACAGAGACTTCTAGCTCATTCACTGAAAATGCCCCAATATAACCTTGAAATATGTAGTTTTTTTTTAAAGATTCATCCACTCATTCATTCATTTACACGTCCATTATTTCCGGAGCAAGAAAACCCGTACAATGAAAAAAGGCTGAAGACTGGACCTAACCCTTTCCCCTTTAATGAATCTTACACCCTTTAAAAGGAAAGCAAAGGGAGGAAAAGGGGAAATATCAGTCGAAGAAGGTATATAAAGAAAGAAGAAAGAGATATATATCAGACATAAAAAAAAAAAATTGTCGATGATAAAATGACACGAGATAAACACCTTGTCTTACCTCTAAAGAATGAAGAAAAAAAATCGGGAATTGCAGAAAGTACCACAGAAAGAAACAAAAGGAAACAAGGGAATAATACCGATAACCAAAAACTCACAGATAGAAAGCACACAGACAAAAAAAAGAAAGAAAGAAAAGAAATGAAATAACAGACGAAAGGAAAAAAATAACCAGGATATGAAGAGGAGAACTTTGAAGCAAACGCGAGAACGGCCTCTCAGCTGACAGCATGGCTCCCCGACTCTCATGCAGTCCTCTGAGCAATTTAAGAGCCCGGGTTAAACTGAACTTTACTGCTCTGAGCAACTGCTGGCCAGAATACTAACTCCTCCCCGCCTCGTATGCCGCGGTGTAATTTTTTGTTTTCTTTTTTGAGAGGCATAAATCGCCAAACTAGGTAAATCTTCCACATAAATTCCCAACCAGAAGCCTCACTTTTAAGACGCTGCTCAGCATTTATCTTCCTTGTACAATCTTGAAGACATCGTTGGCACCTCGGGACAAGATAATCCGACGCTGCATAAGGTGCTCATTTCACACAATAATTTCTTGAAGATATATAAAAGAAAATGCACAAGAGAGAAAATTATTGCGAAATCGTCCACAATTTCAGAATTCTGACATGACCGTCTCAGAGGACGAAAATGGAGAGCGAGGGAGAGGAGAGGAGGGAGATCAGACGTGAGAGAGAGAGAGAGAGAGAGAGAGAGAGAGAGAGAGAGAGAGAGAGAGAGAGAGAGAGAGAAGAGAGAGAGCAAAGACAGAGACAGACAGAGAGTGAGTCAGTCCAAAAGAGGACCCACAAGCAACCTCTCCCACAGAACCCAGCCGGGACCACTTACCTTCAACCCATAATCTCTGGACGTCGGTGAGCAGCGTCGCGCTCTTGAGGCCGACGCAGAAGGTGGCGAGGACGAGCAGGGCCACGAAGAGCACCTTGCCGGCGTGTCTCTGAGCGAACACCCCGAGCTGCATGAGCTGCCACTGTAACTTGGTCCGTAGCCATAGTGCCGCCCGGCTGCCGGTCGCCCGACCCTGCAAGCGGGGAAGAAGACGCGCTGGTTTAGTTTCATGCAACCCATTGTTCTCTTACGCCACTCCACGAGACTACGATTCCACACGATGGCCCCGATAAGGCAGCCCCTCCGAGCCCACTCACGAGGAGCGGGGCAGCCAGCCATTCCGAGGAACGTGATCAAGAAACAAGAACAAGAACCCGCGACTCCAAATCGAGTCATTCTCGACACAGACGAACCGTGAAGAAGGGGACCTAAAACTGCCCTTCCGTTCCCTCAGCACTTACCCAGCGCCGCCTGTACACGGAGGGGAAGCTCTCTCCGACAAGCCAGCTGTTATAACGGAGTTGTTCCTGCCGCAGAGGGAGGGGGAACGTGTGAGTTGTCTCGCTCTTAAAAACTCCATTAATACAGATGTCTGGGCGAGGCGGCGCTGACAGCCACAAAGGGTCTCATCGAAGAGTTATTACAACTCCTCCTGGCTATTGCTCTCTCGCTCTCAACCCATTCTCACCTTATCCCCTTCCTTACCCGTTCTTTTGGACACTTTTCATTTCTTTCGTCTCCTTCTTCCATCTACTTGTTCTTCCCTCCTATCCCTCCCCCCCTTTTCTTCCATTCGAGTTCTGGCAAACATCTTGTGTCGTCTTTCATTTGATGTTGAAATTACCCTTCTCCTCTCCCCGCTAATTCCTTCATTTGCGTCTTGGTTCATTAATTTTTTCCCCGCTATGCTTTTGATCGCAAACGCTCCATTAGCTACCTCTTCATCCCTGCGCATAATCCATCTTCTAATTTCCTTCACTTTTTTACATCCCGAACCATCAGCAACGCCGGTGTCACGTCCCTTCGCCGCCATGCCAGTCTTAATCTTCTTTTTCTTCTTCTTCTACCTTTCTTTCTTTCTTTTCCTCCTCCTCATTCTTCTTCTTCTTCTTTTCTTTCCTCCTCCTCCTCTCTTCTTCCTTCTTTTCCTCCTCCTTCATCTTCTTCCTTTCTTTTCCTCCTCCTTCTTCTTCCTCCTTTATTTTCTTTCTCATTCCTCTCCCGATCTAAACGTCCCTCCCCTACGCTTTCCCTCCCCCACTCTCTTCCCTCTTCTACCCCTTCCCCTTCTTACCCCCGCTACCTTTTTTTCTTCATCTGTTTCCTGAACTGTCTTCGTTAAAATAACCTCCCCTCCTCCCCCCCGTGTCACTCCATCTAGCCCCCTCCCAACCCCCTCCATCATTTCTTCTAGCCCCCTCCATCCACTCCCACCCTTCCCCCCCTCACCTCCTCCCAACCCCCCTCCATCCCTCCAACCCCCTCTACCCTCCCAACCCCCTCCATCACCCTCCACCACCCTCCCTACCCCCTACCCCCCCTTCCGCCCCGCCCGCAGCAGGAGGTGTTGATGAAGTGTTGCTGGTGACGCTGAAAACAGGATGTGTGGCGGTGCCGTAGGGTTTAACAAGCTAAAAGATAAATGCCTCTTCCCCCCCCCCCCACTAAACTTTCCCCCTTTCTCTCCGTCTCCCTTTCCGCCCTTTCCCTCCTCCCTTTCCCTGTTCTCTCATCTCCCTCTCCCTCGCCTTTCGCACCCTCTTCCCTTTCCTTATCACTATCCCCTTCTCTTTCCCTTTTCCTCTCCCCTGTTTCATCCCCTCCCTTTTCCTTAACCCTCCTCCCTCCCTCTCTCTCCGTCTCCTATCTCCTTCCCTTCCTTTTCCTTAACCCTCTCCCTATCCTCTCCCTTCCTCTATTCCTTTCCCTACCCCTCCTTTCCCTTTCCTCCCCTCCCCCTTCCTTCCTCCCCTCTCCTTCCCTTCCCCCCTCCCTTCCCTTCCCTTCCCTTCCTCTCCCCTTCCCTTCCCTCCCTCCCCTTCCCCTTCCCTCCCCCTTCCCTTCCCTCTCCTTCCTTCCCTTCCCTCTCCCTTCTCTTCCCTCCCCATCCCTCTTCCTTCCCCCCTCCCCTCCCCATCCCCATCCCCAAACCCCGAGGACGTGCCGCCGCCGAGCCAAGAGGGATAAAACACCGACGGGGCTCCATCGCCGGCGGAAATGCGCGATTCCGGTGCATATAATTGCATCGGAAAAACATACGCCCCGTCGGCCATTTTTCAAAAACCCGAGTGGCCATTTATGCAAAAAAAAAAAAAAAAAAAAAAAAAAAAAAAAAAAAAACGTGATGGGAATGGGAATCTGTGTAATTACATGCATTTAGCGAAGTGTATGTTCGGGTCCTGTATGCTAATAAAATCCGTCGGCTTTCCAGGTAAAACAAGGTATTAACCACCTGCGAATCATCAAATATGAGGTACGATACTGATAGAGTGACTTGCATGAAATTGCCAGATCTAATAAACACTAATTCTAAATAATCTTTACTGTCAAAGCAAAGTTTTCGCCTAATACAATTTAAAATGCACTGTAATGCAAGTTGCAAAATTGAAAATATGCAATAACATCTGCCGGTTAGTTGTAAAGGGACGAGAATATACCTTAAAAAATGGGGAATGGTAGAAGGTAAAAGAACAAAAGATAAGGATTAAGAAAGGAAAAGACGTTGGGAAGAGAAGGATTATGAAAGGTGGATAGAGGGAAGGGCCAAAGGCTGCCCGTCTGCCGGATCCTGCAAGAAAGGCGTGGCTATCCGCAACTTCCGGCCGTCGGCGAGGCTACCGGACGTCGGGGAATTAATGTCAAAAAAAAAAAAAAAAAAAAAAAAAAAAAAAAAAAAAGAAAAAAAAAAAAAATCAGCGAAAACAAAATCTTAGCGCCGTCCATCAAGACAAAACGCGACGCACGGCCGACTCTGACGTGGCGAGTGAACAGACAAATCGCCCTTACGACCGCCCCGTGAGCTGAGGGGGCGGGGGGGGGGGGGGGGGTAGCCTCACTTACGTAGCAGGAAGTATAAAATATCTCGATAATAAGCTGAAGGACCTTGCAGCGCCTGCACAACTGCCTCACGGGCGTCGAGCAGCTGGACCGGCGTTCTGCATGACATTACTAGCCTACTGAAGAAGCGACGAGACAAGGACGAAGGGACGAGGAACGGGGACTGAGGCGACCGTCCCCTGGCAGACGGCGGGGCAGACGGAGGCGCTGGGCTCGAGGGACACTCGCCTTCGCCCGCCTTGCCTGCGACTCGGAAGCGGAAACAACGTGCCAGGAGCCGAGTCACTTCAGGGCGAGGAAATGAACTCGTCGTCACTTCAGGGCGAGGAAATGAACTCGTCGTCACTTCAGGGCGAGGAAATGAAGCCGTCGTCACTTCAGGATCGTCACGGATGTGTCGCAATCCGCGGCGAGACGACGAAATCCGCTACGATTTTCCTGACCGCTCTGTGCCCGACGCCATCGAATCGCCGCTATGCGAAGGGCGAGCGATCCCGAAATCCGATTCCGCCCGCCATTAAAACCCAAGCGCCCCCCCCCCCGCCCCGTGACAGGAGAGAACGTCGCTGCAACACGCCCGCACGCCCTCTATATATACACGCCACGAAACCCCATCTATCCGCTCCCGACGCTACCCTGTGTTCAAATACTTCAGACGAGATATAATGAAAGCATAAAGCGTGTTCTCCAAGCGTGAGATAATGAGACCACCTCTCACTGAAAGTGTTCTTAATGAATCAATAAAACTTTATACAAGAATAATAGCAACGTATGGCAGCGGCGGAGGATAATAATCATTAACTTGTGCCACCATCAAGCAGACAGATTACAGGGCCGCAGGTAATTAACGGCCGGAGTTCAGAGGGAGGCTCCGGCAGGGCGGCAGATGAAACGCTCCCCGCGCCCACGGAGAACACAGGGCGCCTCAGGGACCAAAGGGCCGCGATGCCGAGATGGGCGTGCGGGCGGTCGACGCGCCGCCTCGTAGCGGGACAAAGACGCGAATCAAGAGGCGCGGCGCAATCACAAAAGGAAGCGCAAAGAGGACGCGGTGGCGCTCAGATCAAAAAAAAAAAAAAAAAAAAAAAAAAACGCGTCACGGATGCAGCCCGCAAAAAGACGCATTCATAACGTTTGACAGCGGTGAACGGCGGCGATGACAACCGCCGACGGAGAAAGCTACGCCCGCTGACACTATCAAACGGGGATAGTGTTTTATGGCGACAGTGTTCGACGTGCCAGCTGGGCCTCCGCTGTCAACACATTCATCTAATTAAAACCTCGAGAAGGGGGAGGGAGGAGGGAAAGGGGGAGAAAGGGGCACGGGAGGAGCGAAGGCGGGGAGAACGAGGCGGAGGGAGGAGGGGAAAGGGGGAGAAAGGGGCTGGGAGGGAGGCGGAGGAGGGGAAAAGGGGGAGAAAGGGGCACGGGGAGACGAGGCGGGGGGAAGGGGGAAAAGGGAGAGAAAGGGGCACGGGAGACGAGGCGGAGGGGAAGGGGAGGGGAGAGGGGCACGGGAGAACGAGGGCGGAGGGAAGGAGGGGAAGGGGGAGAAAGGGGCACGGGAGGCGAGGCGGAGGGAGGAGGGGAAAGGGGGAGAAAGGGGCACGGGAGACGGGAGGCGAGGGGGAGGGAGGAGGAAAGGGGAGAAAGGGGAGGCGGGGCGGAGGAGGCGGGAGAAAGGGGCAAGGGGGAGGGAAAGGGGCACGGGAGATACGAGGCGGAGGGAGGAGGGGAAAAGGGGGAGAAAGGGGCACGGGAGACGAGGCGGAGGGGGAGGGGGAAAGGGGGAGAAAGGGCACGGGTAGACGAGGCGGAGGGAGGAGGGGAAAGGGGGAGAAAGGGGCACGGGAGGCGAGGCGGAGGGAGGAGGGGAAAGGGGAGAAGGGGCACGGGAGACGAGGCGGGGAGGAGGAAGGGGAGAAGGGGACGGGAGACGAGGCGGAGGGAAGAGGGGAAAAGGGGAGAAAGGGCACGGGAGACGAAGGCGGAGGGGGGTGGGGAGAAAGGGGCACGGGAGACGAGGCGGAGGGAAGAGGGGAAAGGAGAGAAGGGGCACGGGAGACGAGGCGGAGGAGGAGGGGAAAAGGGGAGAAGGGGCAGCGGGAGACGAGGCGGAGGGGTGGGGAGAAAGGG